AAGAGATGCTGCAGCAAGATGTGGCATGTTACATTTCAAAAGCTTAGGCGTGGTATGATTTTTTTTTTTTTTTAAATAGTCATTGGTAGAGGTATTTTTTAGCCTTAACTGTGCTAGACAAAGCATCCATACAGTGTCAGCTGTAGCTTAATAGCAACTTTTAAAAATTCTGTATCATAAGTGGTCCTAGATAAAACAGGTTACTTATTTAGCTGATATTCGCATGCACAAAAATGGTAATACACATTTATTTTAAGACGCTGTAGCAAGCAAAGAGGAACATTGCACTGGTTTGTTGGACTTTTCAGAAAGCAGCTTGTAACCCAGATCTTCATTGTAATACATTTAATGTAACAATATCATGTAACAACTATGACCACACCAAATACAGAAGAATTAATTGTTTAGAGTTCTGCAGTATGGTTGACTGTACTGAAAGATGCTGGCAAGAGAAAAAATTAGAGTCGAATTGGACTTACTAAGAATCTTCTTCGTATTTATTAGTTCACTTATATTGAAGTAAGAATTAAGTGAAAGGATAAACAGATTTAAAAGTGGTCTAACAAGTATTGTACCTTCCACAATATTTGCAAACATACTATTTAATTTTTTTGTAACAGTATTCAGCAAGTTAGATCTCTCTCCGTATTAAAATCACAGTCTTCTGCAGGAGTGAAAACAATTAGTTTCAGATGCTATGTTTAAGACAAAAGGGAGTGGTAAACATGGGCTGCTTTAATCTTTACCTTGGGATATCATCAAATCTAATGCAAGTTTTAAGCAGAAGTTGGTCAGTTTAGTCTCTAGAACATTTCCCATATTAACCCTTAATTTATACAGCAGACCATGTTTGACAGAAACACAAACTGGGGCCTACTCTTGTCCTTCCTCCCCTCCATCAATTGATCTGGTGAGACAACCCTAAAAGATGACCCTACTCAACATTTCCAAGCAAAGGCAAAAGTAAAACTTAAGTTGTCTGCAAATATGCCCCAAGGTCAAGAATATTTCCCCAAATAGAGCTATCAGCAATAAATCCTCATAATTAAGTTTAATTGCATTGATTTCCCCTCCTCCTAAACAAACCACACCGTTCCTATAAAAGCACTGTTTGACACTTGCTTGCATTCTAATCAGGTAGATTCACCAGTACATCCAAGGGTAAGGAATACCACCTGTTGATTACATGGCAAAGATAGAGAAAAGGAAAGCATCTTGATGTATTTAACCTAATCTTTGTGACATTTAGTTTCCTAATCTTTGTCATTTAACTCCCAGGAGCATCAGATTTACAGCTAACAATATCACTTAAAGTCACACTATTGGACTTGTTAAAGTGTCTGTGCAGGGCCAACAGTTGTGCAGGTAGTGGGAACTAGAGATGGGCAAAGTAGCTCCACCCAGCAAGAGTTTTCTACAAAAACTACTAACACTTTTGTGCTGTGGCCTCACCTGCTTCTCCTCCAACCCAATAACTGTAACAAAAGGGTAGGTTAAGGCCTCCTAGCAAGATCAGATCAGCTGATCACATCTTGTTTATCTTTCATGGGAGAACAGCTGTACCCATCGCACTACAAGAGTAGTCTTCACCCCTCATGTATGTAAGTGAAAGGAAGAAAGTGGCTAGCCAGCAAGCCTGCCAATTGTCTCACCTCCATCAGGACCCATTATGGGGAGAAGGAAAAACAGAGCAAAGAAGAGTGAGCTAGAAATAGAGATGGTATGTACAGTAATCAGCATTGCTCCTTCATCTGGACTAGAGCCCTAAAAATCAGCAAATGGGGTAGACATGGCAGTTACTAGTAGTATGATTATATGTGCATACACAGATTATCCATAGTGATAGAAAAAGAGTTTACACAAACTGAAAACCACAGTCTCATACGTGAACGGAATGTACTTCCTATTAACGAATGTGTTGGAAAGGCTCAGTGAACAAGCTTTGGTCTATTACTTTGGTATTGTGTTCTAGGAGAACATCAGGACTACTATTTAGGTATATTTATCCTTCCAAAGTCTGTTTTGATTGCACAAAAACAGCAGGTTCAGGGCAACAGTTAAGTTAAGAGGTTAGGCCTAAATGAGGTTGCTTTTGTTTAAAAGGCCAGTCCTATCTAGTGTGGATAACTTCAAGGGCACTTGATTAACTTTAAAGTGAACTACTCAAGAGTACTTAATAGCCAGCAGAAATTGTTACTGTCTTACAAAGAACAGACTGTATTCCCGCCCTCCCACCCCACTTGCTAGTGCTTCAAGAGTTATATCCCCATCAGTTATTTTGGTGATTAAAAGCAAAAAAGTAATGGTTTTACAGACCAATTTGAAAATAGCAACCTGATACACAAATAAGTTAAAGCAAAAACACAACTCACTGGCATTTGTTTATTTCAGTAAAATGAAAGTTTGACTTTTGCAGATTCTTAGCTCAAATATCCATTCAGAAGGACATCCATAAAAAAAACCCCTTGTATTAAAAACTGACAGGCATCCAGACCTCTAATATTTCAGGCAAAGATGCAATACAAGTGATCAAATGGTTAAGTTACAGTCTTGCTGCATCACACCATCATAAAAACTGAATAAAGGGATAAACATTCAATATTTCAAGAGTACCATAAAAAAAAACCACTAGTAAATGCTCCAGTTTTTTGTACCATACAAGTTGTTTTAGTTCAATTCACATCTTCCTCAGCAATATATTTGCTAATTCAAATACATACATTTAAGAGTACCAGTTGACTATGAATATCCTGAAACAAAGGTATCAAGAGTAACCTCCTTCCCCAAAGAGAAACTTATTTTAGCTCAAATAAAAGGAGCGGGGTGGGGAGTGGAATGTGAAAGCCAAGGGGTGAAATAAAAGTCTTTAGTCCCATAGCACAAGCAGAAATTTGATTAGCTAGCCATTTGGAATAACTGCAGTAGAACCTTGCTAATTTTGCATTTTAATTCACCATAGTGTACTAATAGTGTGTGCCACCACAACTCAGATTTTTTTTAGTGTTGTGGGGAGGTCTTATACCACTAAGACTTCATTACTTTTTTAGACATATTACAGCCATTTACTAGTGTGTTGTGAAGTATCAAATTAAAACTAAAACTGAATTACATGGTGATGCACATTTACCAATTGCAAATTTCAGTAATTTTTACTGGTTCTCCCAGTTAATAGTGAGTTTCTACTTTTTTTTTTGCAGGTATTAAGATAAATTTCAATGGACAAATTAGAACACAATGTGAAGAGTGCTGCAGTAGTCCAAGATCTCAACAGTCTAAAGTATTTCCCCTATCACCAAGAGAATACCAATTCAAGAGTATATATTTTTTGTGCAATTCTCTATCAGATCTACACATGAAAAGCTCAACACCTGACTCAGTCAAAATGAAAGATACACAAGGCTTCATAACTGCTACACTAATGGTTAATAAAGTCGAGATTTGGAAATAGGTAGTAGCATGAAATGTGTGTCCACTTAGAAATATAGTACTCAAGGAGCCTCAAGCTAGAAGCTTGTAAATGGAACAAACCTTCAGCTTGCTTTACAGAAAATCTAGTAGAAAGATTTTATTTCTGCACTGCAGAAAGTTTAAGCAGCAAGTACCTAGTTCTCAAGTGCACTTCCCCCTTTGAAACACCCAGTTCTTGTTGCACCAAGTTATATGCTGGCAGAAAGGGCTGAGGGAAGACTGTTAGCCCTGCCCCATATACATATGAATGAAAGTGCTTTTCAGGACTGAATATACCCATGTTTGTAGTGTACAACTAAAAGTGAAGGCAAATGGAATTTTACATTATATCTTATAGATTATAAAATTAACACCTCCCCATGATTTTTAGTGTTTCTGAACAAAAACAAGGACCTGAACCTAAATAATGTGTAAAATAGATTAAACTGCTCATCAAGGTCAGTTTTTCTAGTAACAGTTTGGCATAGTATTAATTGCCTACCTATGTGACTATCATAGCTTACTAAGGTCAACAGTCATGCAAAATCTGGAAAGTGATCTGTGGCAAAGTCCTCCCCCACATCTATCTTATTTATCTAGCGTAGGCACTCATGCTATTGCTACCAAAATGCAGAAAGCTGTCAACAGGAGAAAGCACAGATCTTTCAGGAGCAACTCCCCCAATATACTGATTTCTAGCCCTTGCAGCATGAAGTTAACTAGTGCCTCAGATTTAGATTTTATGCATTTCTAAAGTCACATACTCTTGATAAGATTTTACAAATATGCACATACATTACAAGATAGTGTAATTTAAACATTTTTCATTGGCAGTATTTTGACATTTATGCACAGATGATTCAATGGCCAGCTGCATCCATGATGTAGGACCAGCCCAATGCTGCTCTTTTTGAAGAAAGTTAAAATAGCCTAAGTATGCCTTCCAAGATTTGCAGGAATTACTGACCTGAACAGCAGAGAAACCAATAAAGTTCTGAAGACTGTATAGAACAAATTTAGAATAGACCTGTCTCAGGTTGAGAATTTCCAAAACAATTACTTTGAGAATTTCCAGTGCATTTGTTTGGGTTTTGTTTTTTTAAAAGACAGGAAGGATTTTGAAGTTTCAAACTAGAGAGATTTGATTTTTAATCAGTTTTACTAGAGAGTCAGAATCTGAATGTTGCCACACTACTTTAAAAAAAAAAAATCAAACTCTCTCATTAAGCAGCTTTTACTCAATACACTAAACAAACAGGGACAGAGATGGCCTTAGAAAAGAGTTCCTGGGTCCTTCACCCTACCATAGTTTGTAAGCATTTCTGCTTATACTACACTGAAGGAGCCAGTAGATACTACAGCACACAATTATTGAATGCATAGAACAGTACTATAGCATTTCAATATCTTATTAGTTTTGTGAAGATCTCATACAACAGCATCTATACTCCTTTTTAAGGAAAAGTGATTTTCTTGGATGAGATGTGTGGCATAATTACCTAGTTTTACATGAATAAAAATAATTATATCAACTGAAAATATGTTGCTATTATTCTAGTGTAGTGTTGGCGACAGACCAAAGATCAATAACTCAAATGGTACTAGACGTAGTATTTGAGAGTTCACAGTGATTATAAAAGTAAAATTGCTTTGATACAGAACTTAATTAGCAGTTATTCAATGTATAAAAATTAAAGACCTTTCATTCATGCTACTATATTCTGCATTAGCATTCCAATTCTATTAGAGTTCAGTAGTACCTCAATTAAGCAGCAAAGACTTACACCAAGTCTAACTATACCCTTTGTAACCCATCCCATTGACTTCCATATTTGAATTATGTGATTTGAACAGGTAAAGTTAAGACTGATCTTAAGTCTTTGAGGACCGGAGCCCAAATGTCGACAGACATCCTGACAGTCAGCAGAGCAGTTTCGACACACCGGCCACCTATTGTACTTAGCTCTATTTAATCCTGTGGTATTGCCATTAGAAAGAGAGAGACTTTAAAAAATACATGAATGTATTTAAGAAATCCTACTTAAATAGTTAGCTGTCCATGAAGAGTAGTATATAGTACCAGTTGATAATCTAGTAGTGAAATGTAAAGTTTTGGATTCTCTCATGTCTCCCCTCCAACTCACTTTAAAACCAAGTATAAATACACCAGACCCTGATGCCTAGCTTCTAAAAAGAAGGGGCCTGCAGATTTTACATACCCAGCACTTCTTTACAGACCCACTGCCCCTGGCTGTACTCCTAAGGAAACAGCTCTTAAGTATGGGGAGCCCCCCATTGCTTGGCTTGAAGCAGCTATTTCCTGGAAACTGCTAAATCCCAAGAGCCCTGCAGATATTTACACTTCATGAAACTCAGAAGTTAAAACAAGACATTTTGCTTTATCTCCTGGAGAATGCATGAGTCTGGATGAGGGATTGTCACTCACACAGGCCTGCAAACACCACCTCTCTTCTGCACTACATGCTCAATAGGTTCAGGAGCATGTCACACACCTGATTTAAATACTGCTTGTTTCCCTGCTTAACCGAAAACATTGGATTTGGGTCTGAGTTTGAAGGACGTTCTCAGTGGCTTCTCCTCCTGCTCCTCCTCCTCAGCCTCCCCTCGGAAAGAGGGGGTGGTGTGGATGATCTGGGTGCGGAATCGGATTTTGTTGAGCCGTGGTTTCATCCTGCCGCTAGTTGAGGCTTTCCTACTCATCTCCTTGCCCTTGCCCAGGGCCGCTGCCCCTTCGCTGGACTCAGTCTCCTCACCCTGCCCCTGGTGGTGGTGGGAGAGTTTGTAGGTAATGAGGTTGGAGGGGAGCACCTTGGAGAGTCTCCAGCGCCCGCTCCCATTGCCCGCGGCGCCCTCGCCCTCCTCCTGCAGGGCCCCCACCAGGCTCCGCATCTCCTCCGTGGTGCTCTGGCTCAGGTAGTTGGAGGCCTTGCGCCCGCTGTAATCCCTAACATCCACGTCTGCGTCGTAGGCCCCCACAAGCAGCTTGACCACTTCCAGATGGCCGTGCATGGCCGCCAGGTGCAGCGCCGTATACCCGCCGCTGGTGCGCGCGTTGATGTTGATGGGCAGCCGCTGCTTGTGCGCGAAATTGACGAGCATGGCGAGCAGCTCGTGGCGCCCGTGCTTGGCGGCCCAGTGCAGGCAAGTGAAGCCGGTAATGAAGTCGCGCTTGGAGAGCAACCCCGGCTCGCTGCTCAGCAGCCCCTCCAGGCTCTCCCACCTGCCGTCCGCGGCTGATAGCATCCAGGCGTGCTCCAGGGGGTCCAGCGCCACCGAGCTCCCCCCGCCGCTCTCTTCCTCGGCAGAGGAGGAGGCCAGCGAGGCGCTGTCCGAGTCCCCCCCGCGGGCTCGGGGGGCCCCGGGGAAGAAACTCCGTTTCAGCTGGGGGGAGCTGCCCATCATCAACTCGCGGAAGTTCTTGCGGCTGGACCTAGGGGTGGCACCCCCGCCGGAGCTGCCTGGGGAGCAGGGGGAGCCGGAACCGGCCTCGGCCCCCTCCTCCTCGGCAAGCCGGGCAGGGGCAAGCGGCTCCTCCGCGCCGTGCCCCGGCTGCAGCCCCCGGGCCACATTGCGCCGCGAGCTCCTCTTCCTGCCGCTGCCCGGGGGCACCTGGCCCAGCCGGGGCAAGTCGCTCCTGTTCCCCGCCTGGGGCGGCTGTTGCGGGCAGCTGGGGGGGCCCTTCCCCCGAAGCGCCCCATCCTCGGGGCCCGGCTTCCCCGGGGCAGCTGGCGCGATCTCCCCCGGCTGCCCCCCGGGGCAAGGCGAGGAGTCCCGGCTCCGCTGTACCGACTCCGCCGCCTCCTCAGAGGTCACCGCGATGCTGGGCAGCGGCTCCGGCGCCGCTGGGGGATCTACGGGGGCGGTGTCCGCGATGTCAGGCAGCGGCTCCGGCGCCGCTGGGGGATCTACGGGGGCGGTGTCCGCGATGTCAGGCAGCGGCTCGGGCCCGGGCGCCGCTGGGGGATCTACGGGGGCGGCGGCCTCGCTGCCGCCGGGTTCGAGGGGCTGGTCACCGGGCGGCGAGTCCTGCTTGTCCGCAGCCGGGGTCCCCGCGGGCCGGTAGCGCCGCCGCAGCTGCACGTACTTGGCGCCGGAGCCGGGCTCCAGGCGCACGGTGGCCACGGCGTTGACCAGCTCCTTGAAGTGCTGGCGGGCCCGGGCGCGGCGCTCCGGCTCCGGGGGGCTCAGCCAGCCCCGGAAATGCTCCAGCAGCTCCGCGTTCCGCGCCCGCCCGCCCCGCGCCGCCAGGAACCGCAGCACCGACTCCGGGCTCAGCGCCGGCTCCTCGGCCATCGCACCCCACGCTCAGCGCGGCCCCAACATCGCCGCGGCCGCCTCCTGCGGCGGCTCAGTGCTCGGCAGCGGAGCGCTCCCCGCCCCTTCCTAATGCAGCAGCGGCTCAATCAGTGCGGCGGCTTGCGGCCCATTATACAGGCGGGGGAGCGGGGGTCAGGGACCGACCGTCCGCTCACGTCACGTCCGAGACTCCAGCCCGCCGCGTGCGGGGATCGCCCCGGGGCAGGGGTGCGAAGCGATTACAGCGTAGCCCCGCCCTTCGGGCCGCCCCCATAACCCCACCCCCCCGCGCCACGCCCCTCCCCTCCCCGCCCGTTTGCTTGGCCCCGCCCCCCCGCACGGACCCTCTAGCTGCCGGTTACATTCCAACCGCCTGGAGCTTCCCGCGCGCCTCTCCCCTCCCCCTCCCGCGGCGGCCGCCCGGTGTCATGGCTTCCTCCGAGGTCGCTCGGCAGCTGGTGAGTCCCGCCCGGGGGCGCGTGAAACTTTCTCGTCTCTTCTCCCCGCATCCTCCGACCGCACCCTAAAAACTTCCTCTGCCGGGCCGGGTCCGCCCCCCTCTCCCCGGACCGAGCGCCTCATGGGGGGGACGTGCCGGCCCCAGCCTCCCCCCTCAGTCACCGCCCGCCACAGCCCCCGGCCTCCATCTCACTGCTCCCCCCCATTGTCACCCGCGACGAGCTTGTAAAATGCCCCCGAGGGAGACTCGTGTGTGGTGAGCGCGCTACGAGGGGCAGGGAGGCAGCGCCCCGCCCTGAGGGGCGGCGGGGGGTGCCGGGGAAAGGGCAGTGTCGGGGGTTTGCCTTTCAGCTGGGAGATAGAGGCGCACAAAGCGGGCGACTCCCCCATTCAAACCAGTGTTTGGTTTTAAAAGTCGGAGAAGACTCCGGGGCTGTGCCCGCAGACCTGTCATTCCACGTTACGAGCAAATCAAAGGATGGAAGCCTTCATCAGCATTCAGTGATTCATTAGCTTCACTTTTACTCTTTCACCTAGCTCTAGCCTGAGGTGGAACTTTACATTTGTTGTTAGCAAGTCGAGATGAGAAAAAAATCTTATCAACATCGATTCACATAAAAACCATGAATGTGCTTCAACTACGCTTACAACAGCTTTCACTTGTGACTGCTTTTACGTTTGTCCAGGCCGTATTTTTGTAAGAATGCTAACAGCAAGGTAGAGTTATGAATACTTGTTAAAATGTGTAAGTACTTCAGAAGTATTCAAGTGGCCATCTTGAAAACTGTCAATTTGGGAGCCATCCAGACATAGGAACCAATCCCATGCGATTCAGATTACCAATCATGCAGCATAAATTTCTAGTTATGGATAGCAAATACTCTAATGGTTACGAACTGTAGCTCACAAACAGTGCACAGACATATGTTTGAATAAGCAATTCCTTGAATAATTTCTAATAATGAGCAAATTTGATAATTTACCCTCAGTTTATAGGTAAAATTGTGAACAGAAATAAGTATCATGCTATAATCCTGTACTGAACGTGTGTACAAGGACCATACACGTGCATGTCTGTTGTCTACAGTTTGCGGGCTCTGTCAGCGTTCTAAAATTATTACTAGACGATCCAATTCTGAGGCTTTATCTTGCTCAAAATGGCTGAGAGTTGCTGCATATTTAAAAAGAAAAAAGCTAAACAGTCTTGGTTATGTGTTTGCATGCTTCAAGGAAAACCTTGCTCTGCATCCTGGCAAATCCTGTCAACTTTTCACTTCTTTCTTGTTCTTCAGATACACAAATCCAATCCAAAACTTGGCTCAGATTCACGTTTATTTTTGATGTAGTGAATAATTTGATTAGCTCATGACATAAAGACACATCTTCTGCCCTGTTCCATCTCAGGTGTTGCTTTGTTAGATAGAGGAGGGACACAAAAGTGGCCTAAATAACCAGCTGGGGATTTGTCTTGTTTAGAGGAATCCCTGGGTGGAATTTAGTTGGCTGTTCTTGTGCTTTTCTGTCATATGAGGCATTCTGAAAGGTGTGTGGCCAAAGTGCTGAATGCTGATGATCCTTGGCTGTTGGATAGGCCATTGTAGTGACATAGATTAGAGCAGCATTTTGGGAGAATTGTGCCCTGATTACTCCCAATCAGAGAAGTGCAAAGTCTCTTTTCCTTCACTTTCCAGACTTGCCCCTAGATCCAGTGCTGAACACTGCTTCGTTTCATCCAAAAGAAGTAGCTCATTGCGTTCCATTTTATGAATATTTAATTATGCTTTAAATAAGTTTTGTAGCCTTTATATCATTTAGTACAATATATTACAATTTTATATTGCATGTTGTATATAGCATTCTGTATGTAAAGAATTACAGAGGGATTAAACTAGAGAACAAAAGTTTCACAGCCCGGACTCATGGCTCTTTTATATGAGCAGAAAGGAAAAACTGCAAAAGACTAGCATAAATGAAGAGTTGACATTTAAAAAATAAATATGTCAGAGAGTATTCTTGTGGGTTAACTACAGTGAGAGAAGATTTGAAAAAACGCAGTATCAGCAAAAATGAAATGTGATGGGGATTTAGAATTTATCAGTAGGCTTACAGATTTGGAGAGGCAAGAGAATTCTAGATAGGGCAGCAGAAGCAAACAACATTACACAGGAGAATAGCAGGGAGGGGACCAATATAAATATGGAGGGAGCATTGGGAGGGGACAAGTTCATGGGTAGTTTGGAAACACAGGATGGCAATTTTAGATTGGATTGTAGTTATTATAGGTAGAGGGAAGTGGAGACAAATAGTCTAATTTCTCAAATTAACAAATAGTAGTATTAAAGTGCTCCAGACAATTTTAATTGAATGGGGTTGGCATTCAATCTTCACAGAAAAACAAACATAAAATTTCTAGGAGAATTTCATACAGATTCAACAAAGGAATTGTATAAATTACCAATACATAATATGAATAGAATTGTAAGACTTCTTATGATGGAAGTGTGTAAAGTACTGTAGCTATACCTGAAAGAAAACAAACTAGAATAACTGAATATGAACAATCCTGCAGCAGGTATTGCTACAGTTCTTCTTTAGAATAGAAACTTGTCTTCAGTGCTGTTCAGAATAGTGGGAAAGCTTGTTGTTTAGAAGTTATTAGGATTTGAACGATACGTTGTAGTTAACTTATTAGTCTTAATATTAGGGTTTAGTTTAATTGTAAGTATAACATACAATTTAAATAACTGCATCCCTGCCCCTTGCTATAAATACTTGTATGATATAGTTGAGTAGTAACCCAAACTGATGTTTTCATAGCTCACATACTACAATTTTGTTCAGAAAAGACATTTGCCCAACAATGTTCTAAAGCAGTTAAGTCCGTAACACTGCCATTTTACAATTTTATACGTTAGTCTGCTTGTTGGTGCGTTATGTCCCATTCTACTTGACTGCTAACTTTTTTCACCCATTGGAAAACCAGGTGATAATGGAGTTAAGACTCTGAAGAAACCCCCAAACTAATTATAGTGTTGATCAAATACCTCAGAGTTCTTCTTGGAGTCTGTGTCTGTGGGGGTCCCACTATAGGTACACATATGCCACGTGTTGTATGAGATCAAAATCTGTTTAATAGCAGTGTCCATTAGACTTGCAGCTGTCTCCATGTGCTCCTGCTGAGGGCAGAAAGTACAGAGTGATCACAACCATCCCTCTGTTCCCTCTTACTACGCATGGGAACAAGACAGAACAAGTAGTGTCCACCCACTACCCTTAGTGGAATTTACTTCAGTTGCAAATTAGGTAGTTAGGGTTAGCTCCCTTTAAAGTAGTTTCCCCCCCCCCCCCTTAAATTTTATTTGTGTCTCTGCTCTCTGCACATGCCAAATGGTAGATTCAAAGCCCTTGGATTTCAACCCCTCTCAATCTTGAATGGATTAATTCCATTCACTGACAGCCACAGCTACTCTCTGTTTTGTCTCGGAGAAGCTGTGTGCAAGACTGCTCAATAAGAATGAGGCAGTCCAGAGACATTCAACTGAAGCTATATTTCTTCAAGCAATCTATGAGAAGAACATGAGACCATAGGTGGCGATTCCGTGGGAGCTCTGGGGCTGGAGCACCCGCCGGCAGCCCCCCTACCAGAACCTCCCCCTCTCCCCAGCACCTCCTGCCCTCCAGCGGGCCCCATCGATCAGCGCATCCCCCTCCCTCCCAGCGCCTACTACCTGCTGCTGATCAGCTCTTTCGTGGCGTCAGGAGGCGCTGGGGGGGGGGGAGGAGTGAGGGCACAGCACGCTCGGGGGAAGGGGTGGAACTGGGCGGGAAGAGACAGGGCGGGAGTGGAGCAGGGGTGGGAAGAAGCAGGGCTGGGTGGGGCCTTGAGGAAAGGGGTGGAGTGGGGCCGGAGCTGGGGGGGAACACCCTATGCGTGAGACCTCAAGGGGTCAGGATCAATATACAAAACTGATCAGACATCAGCTAGTACCCCTGCCAGGCGGCATGCAACACCCAAGGTTGGTACCTATAAAAAATCCTCTGCCTTGTCAAGTAGGGATCCGGCATCAAGGAGTGCCCCGATACCAATTACCACCCTTACACGGAAGACTGCTACCGTCTCCTTGCTGAAGCAAGGAAAATCTAAACACTGGGATGCGCATGGCTCCCGGCACCAGTGCCTTTCTTCCCATAAATAGAGGCCCAAATCTTTGCTTTTCAGGGAACAAGCCCACTAAGCCCACTCATCAAACGGACAAGTGATGTGAGTTCAGTCTCTGGCTCAGCACCAGACAAGCACACGCCACGCTCAGGAATTAGGTATGCTTCCAAACACTGACATCCATGCTGGCATTGGTGCTAGTACTGACACTGGCATCGTCGATGGAATCCTTGTCGGTAGTGGCTGATTCTATGTTGGAGGAGATAACTATGTCCCAGGCACCACCATTGGCACCAGTGTTTCTACACTTGGTACTGGTGTGTGTTTCTGAACTCTCAGTTCTGAGGTCTCCTCAGTCCTCAGCGCTGCCTCACAATGATGTTTATTCTTCATCTCCATCACTAGGACACACCTTCTCTTCTCCATCCAGCAGGGAGCCTTTCATCTCTCAGATCACCCAGGTGAGGGTTTCTCTACAGACCAGAGACTCTCAAGAGCCCAAGTGTATCCGCCTCCAGCATGGCAATGGCCAGGTCAACCCTGTCAGAACCAGCCTTACCAATGTAATGGACCATCTTTTCTCTATGGGGCATACTGGTGACCTCCATCCAGAGCATCTAGGAGCCGATCTGCTTCCTATTGTTCAAGGAGGCATAGAGGGATCTCGATCTCCTTTTGCATCTCTTTGCCAGACCCTTTTCCACAGATGAGGAAGAGTAGCAGTATTTGTTTGGTCATGGCCTAAGCTACACCAAAAAGCCCAACCAACAAATGTTTTAAAATGTTAGGTTATGTTTGAAGACATTAGTTACATTCCTACTTTAGACAGAGAAAGGCTTGGTCTACACATATTTTTTTTGTACCAGTATGATTATTTGGGCTAGGGGTGTGCTTTTTTTTTTTTTTAACGGAAGTAGTTGTAGCAATACAACCCCCTTGGTGTGATTTCAGGTTATACTTCTCTAAAGCTACATATACTAGTATATCTTCTTCCCCTTCCAGTATGGGAATAAACTCCAGTATTTTGGTGTAAAGCATCTTTATATCAGTATAACTGTGTCCACACGGGGGAGGGTGTGTACTACTTTAACTATAATGGTATAGTTAAAGCAGTACAAATTTTGTGTTTAGACAAGTCCAAAGAGAATGTATACCATTAATAGCTGCAATGAAACTGAAACCAAAGAGTCAGCAGGCGGGCCTGTGTGTGGACAAGAAAGTGGGAGGAAGAATACATGTTTGGTATTGCAGTTGGACCTGCTCAAAAGATCCTTCTAAATACCAGCAGAGGAGAACAAAATCTCTACTGTTTTTCAATTTTAAAGAATTAAAAAAAAATAATGCAAAGTCTATTTATTCACAACTGAAACTGGTAACATCATAGCAGAATTTTCTGATGCATTCTTGATCCATGGCTGATTTTGCATCTTCAGCAGCTGATGCTATTTAAAGAGTGTTCTGCTAGAAAGAAGAAGATCTGATGATCTTGTGGGTAAGGGACTAGGCTGGAACTTGAGAGATCCAGGTTCATTTCCTGGCTCTTTCACTCTTTCTCTTGGAGTTTATACAAATCAATTAATGCCATCTGTGACCCATCTGTAACATGAAGACTTTTCTATTGCAAAGGAAGTTGTGAAAATAAATCCATAAATGCCTGAGGCTTCAGATAGGGGGGAGGGATAGCTCAGTGGTTTGAGCATTGGCCTGCTAAACCCAGGGTTGTGAGTTCAATCCTTGAGGGGGCTATTTAGGGATGGGGGCAAAAAAATTGGTCCTGCTAGTGAAGGCAGGGGACTGGACTTGATGAGCTTTCAAGGTCCCTTCCAGTTCTATGAGATAGGTATATCTCCATATATTATAACTGTATGCATCAGTGCAAATATATTATTAGTTAAATTTGTCCATATAATGGTTCCGAAATCTGTTTTACAAGTTACTCATTCTCATATCTCACATCTGAAATGAGATTTTGTACCTTGTTGTTGTTTTATACTCTAATATGAAAATCTAATTTCCATTCATAATTTGTGCGGAGTGAAGATAAGAAATATAGTAAATATCTTGTACCCATATAGTTACAGTCTTAAATCTGCTGCTGTTCTAAGAATTCATGTATCTGAAGAAATTTTGAAAATGATATAAATATCTTTGGCAGAAGTTGAGCCACTCAGTTTCCTGACCAAAACACGCATCTAAAAGTAGCTGATTTGGCAAAAGTTCAAGGACCCAAGGAAATAAGCCAAGTTGGACTTTTGATATGAACTACATAACACTGCTATAGTCAAAGTTTTTGTTGTGTAGTGAAGTATGGTTATATTTAGGAAATTAATCGTAAAAAGGCATCCTGTTGTTGCACATGTTTACTATATTTCAGTGCCATTATCCGCTTTGCAGTGAAAATTTGTTCTATTCAGTCATCTTCATTGTCAACAAACTTGGAAGTTAAATTCATCATATGGAATACTTTTAATTTTTTTTATTTTTTAAAGTCAAAGGTACCAGATTGACAGCTATAGAGACCAGCTCCTCTATTTTTCCACTGAGCAAGTACAGAAAGTCCATCAGTAGCTTTCTCTATACAATCCTGTTGATGGATTCAAATCCTGACATAGATGGATTGGTGCCATTTGTTGTTATGTTTTTGTCGACATTTTTCCACTGAGACTGCTAGTGACTTATGCAACATAGCTAACAGTTGCATGGTAATTTAGGACACAACTAACATAGTCGAGATTTAGGCCAATGACTAGGATATGAAAGGCCGTGGTATCCCTCTACAATTATGCTGAGACTCTAACATCCTCTGTGTGTCTCAAATCTTAATTGTTGGTATTATGAAGAAATAATATAGCTTGTTTTTTGGTCATATACCAGGTTGTATCTTCAGTTTTGTTAGACAGAAGTTCTGTTCTTGTGTTCACCTTTGTGGCTTGTATAAACTTGTCTTTTATGTTGCCTGTTGTCCCCTCTGCTCCATCAGGGACTCCATGTCCCATTTGTTTGTTTCAACCACCACCATCTCTGTCTCTTTTTTATATTGGCTCCCACACATTGGAGTGCCTTTTCTGAGGTATTTTGTCATTTTCTCTTTTTCAGATTGTGACTATATTTGAACTTGTTTTCAGTCAATACCATGTTAATTTTAGAATCACCATGTTCGATAGTCCTAAAATGTAGTGTTTTCTCCTTAAATTGTTTTTGTCTGTGTACATTTTTCCAGCACTATCAGTCTAATACAGGAATGACAGTACCCTTTAGCCTCACACATGAAAATCAATAAGAGAATGAATAAATATTTAAATTATTATAAGAGATGCGCACTAGAAAGATTCAGCATAGTTTCATGATAAAGTGCTAAACTAACGTCAAAAGACCTGACTGAAGTATGTCGAAACATATTCAGTGTAAAGGATGACACTTTTCCCTGAGCTTCTAAATTTAAATAAAAATCCCCCAACCTTAGTGAAGTAGGGAAAGGCTAGAATGTAAACCCAGGTTAACGTTAAGTCTTAGAAAGCAACAGAGGGTCCTGTGGCACCTTTAAGACTAACAGAAGTATTGGGAGCATAACCTTTCGTGGGTAAGAACCTCACTTCTTCAGATGCAAGTCTTAGGATGCTGGCTGTATTAAAAGGCTCAGGGAACTGATAGTGGTTTGATGATTGGAAACATAGGAACACAGAATAACATGGATCTGTGGCTAATCATGGTTTTGTCCATCTGTTTATGCTGAATGGTTGTTTTTTAAATTGCATTTCAGGTTCTACAGTTAATATGTGGAAAAATAATGTTGTTTCCTTTTATTTTAGACTATTTGTTAGGCATTTCTCATATACCCATCACCAATGTATCTAAGTACCAATTCATTATTAAATAATTTAAAAAGAACTATACGCTTCTGGTACTCTAACTACATATGAAATGATATCCATTATAGTTGTGATGTATGGATAACTTTACACATTAAAAAATTCTCACCGCTCACACACTTAGAATAGGTTTTTATCTGTGTGTACCTTTCCTCAAGTTTTCAGTCTCTATTTTGAATTCCTGCTGTCCCTTATATTCTCCTCTGATTTTTTTTCTTTCTTTGTAGAGGTAAATCAGTTGGGATATCCTTCATTCACAAGTTTCCATTTCCATTAGACTAGTGTGCTTTCTTTTGTTTATAGGCTCTGATCTCACAAGTCACTTAAGCATGTGCTTAACTTTAATCATGTGAGTAATTCCATTCACTTCAGTGGCTTCGATGGCAAATTAGCTGGCTACAGTAAAACTTAATTATTTATGCTATCATTTCTAAATGAGTTGATACTTATTGTTCCACTGACAGACTTTGCAAACTGTTAATGTTTTCTTCAGTCACTTACCAGACCTAAAGAAGAGTTGTAGTTTACTAGTAGATCTCCTTATATATCACTGTTAATTGTTTGGCAACACATTTTCTTAAATAATCATTTTTCCACAGCAAAATGATAATTGTCGACCCTTATCTTTGTCTGGCCATGTTGGTTTTGATAGCTTACCAGATCAGTTGGTTAACAAATCCGTCAACCAGGGCTTCTGCTTCAACATTCTTTGTATTGGTAAGTAATATACTTTTTTTTATTATTGACAGCAGTGAATATTAAGTATTTGACCATAAACTATCTTTTGGCACAAATATTAATACAAAAAAAAAGTGGCTGACAAGGTTACTGTTACCTCCCTTCAGGAAATGACTGCAGTATTGATCCAATGTGATCTTAGGGTGTTTTTGCCTTTTTAACTATGATCCATAATATGCCTCTCTTTATTCGCAACCATCCTTTTGATTATCTTTGTTGTACAGTACTTTCATGATCAGGCTTGAGGATGCCTTAAGTCTTGATTCATGAGCAACTTCTAGGATTCTTTAAAACTTGTGGTCTACATCCATCTCTTCTCCATAGGTAAAGTATTTCAGATAATAGAACCCAAGCCACTCCCAGGTCTATCAGTAGGAGACCTTGAAGCCTTTTTATACTTATTAATTTTCTGGCTGAATGTATTGGAGTTCTTTAGATGTACCAGCCAGACACATAAACATGTATCTTCCTAAAACCCAACACTGAACTGAGCAAGGGTATAAATAATCCACACCAACTCATACTTGTCCTTCACTTCCTCTCTGTCTATTAGCTGATGTGGTTGAAGAACAGACCTCCCTATATGCATGGAATAGCTAATCTTAAAACTTGTGTAAAATAGTGAAGATGGATAGCTGTGGTTTTAATACTGACTTAATGAAATAGTAAAGTTTTCTTGGTGTTAAGGTTTTCTCTCTTCCCCTGTCCCCCACTGATTTTTGGAATGCTGGTGCCTAGGCCACCACGGCAGGCCCATGTAAGCATGCTAAACAATCTTTATTCCTCATTTATAAGACACTAATTCTATTCTTGGATTTTAAGATTCTAGTGAGAGGCACAAAGGAATGCCCTTAGTGCTCAAAGGTGTGTTTTATTGTTGTTTTCCCTTTGGAGTACTAGTAGGTGTGTGTGCATATGTTCTACTTGTCAAGGAATTGAAGGTTTGAGGGAACATTCAAGATAATGAGGTACTGGCAATTAATTTTTTTGTACAAAACACATTTACTGGTGCTTCTAAGGGTCAAAAAGAGGAATTTGATCATACGTTTGGAGAAGCCAATTTACAGGTAATTTCTCTTTAAACTCTTTTAATGGGGCAATAACTATAGTAACACCTATTATGCTTTGTACAAATATATGCAAATGCAAACTTCTTACTTTTTCTTTTAATTTTTTCAGGGGAGACTGGAATTGGAAAATCAACCTTGATAGATACTTTGTTTAACACCAGTTTTGATGACCGCGTATCAACACATTTTCAACCGAATGTAAGACTCAGAGCTCAGACGTATGAACTCCAGGAAAGCAATGTTCGATTGAAACTGACCATTGTAAATACAGTGGGATTTGGTGACCAGATAAACAAAGAAGATAGGTTAGTGTTTCCTCCCGTGGTAAGAATTTCATTATGCAAAATAACCTTGGTCTTGAACTGTGGAGTCTGAGTAGACTTTTCAAGTTAGGTATGTGATTAAGAAAAATGTGTGGTACAAATTACATATGTACTCCAGATATTTAATTATACATTTTCCCACATAATTAATGGATTGTATTTTCTTCTTGTCAGGCAAGTTATTTGAGAAATCAACGTTTACTCTGCCCTCATGTACACATGCCTTTATAATGTGTTACAAATTATATCAATAAAATATATAATAGTGATGGGCATCTTTTGAACTTTCATATAATTATACAGATAGTAAGTTACAGTACAATATGTTCTCTACAGAGTTGTGCTTTTAAGTTTCAGTGGGATCTACAAAAGAGTGTAAGTTGGAAGAAAAATCATCTGGATTTTTTAAATGTAGGTATATTTGAAGTTGAACAGCCTATTTAGAAGATGGAGCATTACACAGCTAGTGAATTTAGAGTTTTCTTTTCCGTCAATTAAGTTTGATTAATTTAATTATTCATAATTATTGAACTGATTTTCCTCAGACTTTTATTGGAATGACCAGTACTATGAAGCATTTTTAATAATAATTTACATTATTTAAGACCCAAGTAGTGTTGGGCATGGATGGAGGTTGTGCATTCACTTCCAGAACATAAATTAACATTAAAGCTACGTTTTAGTCACGGGTATTTTTAGTAAAAGTCATGGACTGGTCACGGGCAGTAAACAAAAATTCACGGCCTGTGACCTGTCCATTACTTTTACTATATACCCCTGACTAAAACTTGGGGTGTCCGGGGGAGCTGCGGGTGCTGGGGGAGGTTGGCCTGGGTGCTAGTGGGGTAGGGGATGGGGGCAGTACGCAGCCTGGACCCCCGCTGGTGATGGACGGGGGGGGAGGAGGGTGGGCAGCGGTGCGCGGCCCAGGAACCCTGCTGGGGGAGAGGCATGGGGGGCAGGGCCAGTAGGCTCCGTACCTGTCTCCGCACCTCCTTCTCGCCCCCAGCAGCAGCAGAGTTTGAGTGTGGAAGGGGGCAGAGGGTTGGGGCACAGGACAGCATGAGGCGGGCTCTGAGCGGCACTTACCTGAGGGGCTCCCCGGAAGCGGTGACATCCCCCTCGCTAAGGTTCTAGGCAGAGGTGTGGCCAGGCAGCTCTGTGCAGTCAAGGAGGTCACGGAATCTGTGACCTCCATGACAAACTCGCAGCTTTAATTAACATTATAGCATAGGATACTAACGAAAGAGCGTTCTTGCTAGTGACTTGCCTATTCTTGCCCATTTCTTTGATGAACAATGTTTAGATGATAAAGAACAGGAGTACTTGTGGCACCTTAGAGACTAACAAATTTATTTGAGCATAAGCTTTCGTGGGCTACAGCCCACTTCTTCGGATGCATATCTAGATGATAAAGAAAAATCTCAGGTACTGGTGTTAATGATACGCAGTAAAATATTTCATATTGCAAGCAAGGCTGTCTTCTACCTCTTTCAAATTCACTTTCCATGTAATCAGTGCCTCTGAAATTTCGCCTCCCATGATTTTGTCTACACTGTATGCAGCAAAAGATACTCAGGACCTGCTGCTCTTATGTATACAATAACATGTTTTGAAGATACATTATGGTCCTCTTGTAATTTGGATCATACAAAACAGGGAAAAGAATCTTTAAAATGTTGTTAAAATACAAATCAGATTCTCATTCTTTAGAGAATAGTTTCCTGCTCTCTTACACACATTTACCAGTAATAAAGCTCCCCAAAACACAATACTGATCTCCAAAAGATGTGAAAATATCATAATTATGGACAGCATCAGTCACATGCTATTTATAGTGATAGTCTGTTATTTCCAAGATTGAGTTGTGAGACTACAGAAATTACAGAAGTCCATGAAATGGATCACTTAAGGATTTCAGTAAAAAGCATAGCTGATACACTCTGCTTTTCATCACCAATAGAGAAAAATTTAACTATCTTTAACCCATCCTGTGCTGCATTAGTTTCTCAAGCTAGTATTCAGTAACTTTAGTTTTACATTGCATAGACAGTTTGATCATTATCCATACATTTAATATCCTGTTCTAGTATATGACTTCTTGAGCTTCCAGTGTATGTAGTTGATATGTAAAGCGATATACTCCTGGGGGAATTCTGCACCAAAAAATTAAAAATTCTGCACACAATATTTTAAAATTCCGCAAAATTCTGCATGCCAAACATATGAGACTGAGATTTAACATGTCAGAGCACAATTTTATTTGTCAAAATAACGCTACATAATCAAGCCAGTTTCAATTATTTTGGTAATTTATTTCAAAATACCTGTCAGCAAGTATGTCTGGAACAATACAGAGACACACAAAAATTCCCTCAGGAGTAGAGTTAAAGAAACCCCTATGATAACCCAGTTGCTCTTTCTCTGCCCCCTTTCCTCCCTCCCTCCCCAGCCCAGCTGGGGGGCCAGACACTCACTACCCCACTCCCCCCCCCCCCCGCCCCGCCCACCCGCGGCCCAGGGATCCAAAGGGAGAAACAGCCTGATGCTCAGTCCCAGGCTTGTGTTGAGTTTCCTGCACACTGCCCTCTCTTTCCCTCAGGGCATTCTGGGAACTGCAGCTGCCAGGAACTCTCTAGTTCCCTCTCACCAGTAGTGTCTTCTATGTGCAAGCTGGCCTCTGCTGAGTCCAATGGCCCCTAGTGATAGCTAGCAGCACTGCAGCCTATTTCTGTGGGGGAAAGGAAATTCTGCATGCACAACGTTAATTTCTGAAAATTCTGCATTGCGCAGTGGCACAGAATTCCTCAAGGAGTAAGTAATAGTATGCAGAAAAATATAACACGGATTCCCTTTTTTAGTCCTACTCTATCTGATCTTTGGTTGCTAACACATCACATTTTTTCCCCCAGCTATCAGCCAATAGTGGATTACATAGATGCACAATTTGAGGCCTACCTCCAGGAAGAACTGAAAATTAAACGCTCCTTATACAACTACCATGACACTCGCATCCATGTCTGCCTCTATTTTATTTCACCTACAGGCCATTCCCTTAAAACGCTTGATTTGTTAACCATGAAGAATCTTGACAGCAAGGTAAGATTGTTTGAAACCAGTTTAAATGAATGAATTTGTAAAGATTCCCATTTATTGCAACATCTTGCCTCTCTTACAGTTCTTTATTTGTGGTCTTGTTAATACTGTAACTTTTTAAAGTAAAGTCAACATATTATGTTGTCAAGAAATATCATGTCACTCATCGCTTTTTTTGTTTGCTCATTGAAAGGGATGAGGGAGACTTCTGCATTAGGCAAAGTTGAAAAAACATCTTAACAAAAATGAAAAATTCTGTGGCAGATTTCTTTGGACAAAATCTGTCTCTTTGGTGACAGGGCCCTTCTACCTTGGATTCCTTCAGTGTCTAATTCACCAGAGCAGTATTCCTGGAAGTCAATTGCTTCCATGTAGCCTGATCATAAACTTGGACAGGGGACAGGTTCCATAGCACTAGCCACTTGTGCAACTCTTTTGCATCTGGTGTGTTTCCTTTTCTTTTTCTGTAGCTCTTAGCTGGTGACTCTTGCTGCTGTTCTTATTGCATGTATCTCTTGATCCATATCCTGGGGAGATTATGCCTGAGGGATAACGCCCCTGCCATCTGGAATAGGGCCTATGATTCGCTCTGGAATCCCTCTCCCACAAAACCCCCTATTTGTCTCAGCACTGTAGATCCTCTTCAAGATATGTCTTATCCTTATGGTCCATTAGCTCGCTGGCCCTAGCGGTCAATGTGGGCTCACCAGCCTGGGATTCAGAAGATTGTTGTTATTATTGTTGTTTCCTTTTAATACTATAATGACTGGAGACACTAATCAGGGTTGGGAGCCCCACTATGCTAAACACTACAGACTTTGTAAAAGACAGTCCCTGTCCCAAAGAACACTCAGTCTTATTTAAGACAAGATACAAGATGTGGGAGTCTGTCAGCCTAGGATGCTAGCTGACTGAACAGCTTGGACTGGAACTGCTCTGAAGATGTCCAGAAAACTCTGTTGGAAAGCAGATTTGTGTGGCTTTCCACTAAAAATCCCTCCTGTATGAAATGAAAGTGATTTTTCATTTGAGCAAGACAGACGGTGTCTAATCCTTGCTAGTTTTCTACTCCCTTTATTGTGGGTTGCCTGCTGCACCTTAAACATTCTGGGCTCACCTTTAGTTCAGTGAGAGTATACCTGCCAGTGACTTTGGCATTTTACCCACTGGCACAGGACTCTTTTCATTTTACAGGGGAGACATTTTTAAAAGGTCTATCTTGTATATTTCCACCTCTTTGGTTTCTATTCCATAATGTGATTTAAATGTGGTGCTCGCCCAGTTAATAGAACCACGTTTTCACCTTGCATTTCACCTAGTGGTAATTGCATCAGTTCAACCTTAGGTATTCAGACACTAATGGCTGATTCACTGAATATGGTATTTCTTAAGGTGGTGTAACAACATGCCCTCCTCAAATTCCTATCAAAGGTGGTTTCTGATTTTAATTTAAACCAAACATTCTATCTACTGGTATTTTTCCTAATGCTCCATTCACTGCAAAAAGAGGCCAGACCACATAGTTTGGAAGTGAAGAGGATATTTACTATCTGAACAGGACTAAACTGTACAATAAACCACTGGGATTCCTGGTAGCACACAGCGATATTTTTGGGGATTAGCTAGTTTCCACTCAGATTATCCAAGTGAATTAGATTCTGTATACTTTCTTCCTATGAATTAGTGACTATTAAAATGATAGGTATTGGAGCACATTCATTCAGGTCTAAGGTGACCTGTTCTGCTTATGTCAGATGTTTCTATCACTGAAATACGAAATACTGTTACCTGGAATTCACTCTGTACTTTTGTACAGAATTACTTCCTGGATTTAGCTTCTAGATTAGATCTTCAATTTGGTAGAAGAATCCTATAGTCATTGTTCAAATGAGACCTCTCAATCCCCACTTGAGTTTAAGGATGAATTATTGCTCATCACAGAGTGGATATCAGTACAAGCAATCATCTTGGAGAACTGCAGTTACTGTAGTAAGGGAAACTAATAGTTTTTTAAACATTAAATGCTTTCAACTAGCTGGGTTGACTTTTTTTTTAAATTTGTATAGTAGAACAAGTTTTGATTCCAAATATTTTTCTTTAGAATGTGGGAATATGTAAACAAAGTCAATGCTAACACACCTTTCCTTGTAGTAGTCTTTCATTATATCTGTAAAGCATTTTGAGATAGATCTTGAAAAAGTACATCATCTTTCATACAAGCTATTATATGATGGATGGTTCACTCCAAGGATTAAATTGGTGATTGAAAGTAGTGCCTGATGCCTTTGGAACTCTCTGCCAGCACACCTAAAAATGCTGTAAAATGAATCATCCTTGTGTGTGTTCCTATAGCTGTGATTTCTTTGCATGTATTATGTATGATGTAGTAGTCTGTCTTGTGAGCTATGAAAAGAGATTTGTGTGTTTCAATCATTAAGCAAGTAATCAATAAAGACAAATGCAAAGTACTCCTCTTAGGAAGGAACAATCAGTTGCACAAAATGGGAAATGACTGCCTAGGAAGGAGTACTGCAGAAAGAGATCTGTGGGTCGTAGTTGATCACAAGCTAAATATCAGTCAACAGTGTAACACTGTTGGAAAAAAAAGCAAACATCATTCTGGGATGGATTAGCAGGACTGTTGTAAGCAAGAAGTAATTCTTCCGCTCTATTCCACACTGATTAGGCCTCAGGTGGAGTATTGTGTCCAGTTCTGAGTGCCACATTTCAGAAAAGATGTGGACAAACTGGAGAAAGTCCAGAGAACAACAACAAAAATGATTAAAGGTCTAGAAAACATGACCTGTGAAGGAAGATTGAAAAAAATGGATTTGTTTAGTCTGGAGAAGAGAAGAGTGAAGGGGGACATAATAGTTTTAATGCACATAAAAGGTTGTTACAAGGAGGAGGGAGGAAAAATTGTTCTCCTTAACCTCTGAGGATAGGACAAGAAGCAATGGGCTTAAATTGCAGCAAGGATGGTCTAGGTTGGACATTAGGAAAAGCTTCATAACTGTCAGGGTGGTTAAGCACTGAAATAAATTGCCTAGGGAGGTAGTGGAATTTGCATCACTGGAGATTTTTAAAAGCAGATTAGACAAACACCTGTCAGGGATGTTCTAGATAATACTTAGTCCTGCCATGCATGCAGGGGCATGGACCTAGATGACCTCTCGAGGGCCCTTCCAGTCCTTGATTCTATTATTATGTTTGCAGTTGGTAAGTGGCTTTGAACTTTATATCAACAACGTATTTTAATGAGTTCTTATTTCATTTAGAAATAAATAGCATTAAAAAACTTTGAATATAAAGTGGATGGAAACTTTTTTTATTTATGTACTCTTTTTGGCACAGAACCTCTAGAATTTAAGTGTACATGAATTTTCTAGCTGTTTGTACTGATCATAGCATGCAAATTCACTCATTTGTAATTTGAAGTAAGAAGTACTAATGTGGTATGTTACAAACCAGGTTTTCACTTGTCTTCATATTTAGATGGTTTATCTAATGTTTTGAAGAATCAGATATTTTCTTTGTTTTTTCATGCCAGCAGAGCATTTCTGACCAAGCACTTATATGAATTTAGCTTCTGATTCATTGGGGGTACTTTTTAAAATGATAGAAAAACTTAGGTCAAGAAATTGGTGATACTTTTTTATGGCAATTTTATAGACTTAAAAAAAAAATTCAAAATGTTTGTAAAATATGTGTAAGCTTCTATGAGTTGGGTGCATATTTCTACCAGTGGTAGCTACAGTGTGAGGGGCGTCACAAGAGTTGAGCAGCCCAACTCAAGTTCAGGAAACCCGAAATGAACTGAGAGGAAAGAAATGTGGTTTAAAATTAGTTACACCCGGAATGATTCACCATTACCACACCCTTTGAGACAATTCAGCACACAAATGTATTTTTGCTTCATTTTTGCTAAAATATTTACAGGTCACTGTTAAGTGAGAGAAATGACATGTGGCTTGTTCTCACTTAATGTATTTGAAAGTTTGGCCTTCAGGATGTTCAGAACAGATTTACTGTGGGAATAAGGGGCTCATGGAGTTCAGTGTAGCAGAACATTTTGCTCCTTAAAATTAAGCAAAGATTATATATTTGAGGGTTCAGCACAAACACTGTTTTGGAGGTAACTGTATATAGTACACTTAAAATCACCTGCAAAATATGTGGCAGAAGTAAAAAGGCAAAGAAAGTCTTTGGAATTATGCATGGAGGTAAGGAATGTAATTCATCAAAAATACTTTGGCATTAGTGCAAGACATTACTGTGACTTACCTGAGTACAATCTAGACCAGTGGTGGGCAACCTGCGGGCCGCATGCAGCCCATTAGGGTAAGCTGATTGCGAGCCGTGAGGCATTTTGCGGACGTTGACCGTCCACAGGCATGGCCCCCCGCAGCTCCCAGTAGCCGCAGTTCGCCGTTCCCGGCCAATGGGAGCTGTGGGAAGTGGTGGTCCGGCCCGCTAAAGTCTGGGGAAGAATGTTCCCTGCTCTTTTTTCCTCATGTGTTTGAGCTTCCTTTGTTTCCCTTCCTGCTTGATGACTCTGTTTACTGCTTTAATGCAAATTAAGCAGAGCACACATTCCTTTGTTTAGGACAGACCCGGTTGCCAACTTCTGGCTGGAACATGTGTTGTTAACACCGTACAGTGGAATCTTAAACTTCACATATTTTACCAGGGGACAATAATGACCAGCAAATTGAGTTTTCAAATGATACCTTACAAAGTGTATTTTGTACAAAGATTATTACAATAGTGTGTAGTGTGGAAATACAGGGGTACATTCTGTCACAATTACTAAAAAAAGGCTTAATTTGGAACAGCACACTCACCATACAAAAATGGATATTGCAGAGAGAAAACCAGGAGAAGACGATGAAAATTACTTTCTTTTGATTTTTTAGAAGTTTTGATTTGATTAGCTAGACACATATTTGGTAGTATAAAACCGTTGCGTTTCATACTTGAGATGTAAGACATTAGGCGGGAAA